CATTAACTAATTTCTCATGAGGTAGGCCAACAAATCAGGCGTTTAAGCATGAGAAGAGTACTAAAGGAGAGGACTTGCCTCAATAGCCATTTATATAGTTATTTTCTTATAAGTTGCTATAAGGATGCTACTAGCCCACTCTTAACGCTATATTCTTCCAATTCAGTTATTGTGGTATAATATCAATAGCTGAGATACCATCCACATCATTTGGAATATAAATTCGTAACTTTACATAATTTCAACTACATTGAGAACCCAATTGCATGTTCATATAGCTTAGTTGCAGATGTCCCTTCATCACCTGCTACCCAGGGAGGATTCAAGGGGCTCGGGAACCAGGTGTGATATCAACTACAGAGATCATGAAATCAAGCAAACCATTCCAAAATGACTCATTTTAATATTTGAAAGCCATCAAAGTTGACTATGGTAAATATAGCCATTTTCATAGTTGAGTACAGAAATGTTTACCATCTCTATTGGAAGCATGTAGTTAAAATCTAGACCAAAAATAAAATAAAATAGAAAAAGAAAAAATCACATCATCACCAAAATAAAACAGTAAATTTGGCTTTTCCGCAACCATGGAAGCATGGTAACAACGAGCAAGAATGATGTTACACCCATTTACTAATGGTTCAGCATGGCACATTATTTTTCGTGTTAAAATTAGAAGCATCCTATTCAGCAAGATACAAGATGCAGGAATATGGGTGTTAAAGCAATGTACCATGATTAAAGGCAAAGTGTGACAGAAAGATGAGCTATTGTGGCTCCCTGGACCAACAATAAATTCAGGAAGATATTAGAAAGAGCACTGTTCCAGATGGTGTGCCTAGACTGGAAATGTGGTTTATATATTTTAAGCTTTATTCATTTGTTCGGATTTTTTTTTTCACTAATTTAATTTATTCTCTTTGCAAACTTTGATGTCTCATTTCATTTAGTTTAACATGATGAGAGCTAATAAAGTTCATATGTTAGCATGAAGTGCTCTTAAAAGAACTAAGTACGAAAAGTTTTCAAAATAAGACTCCCAACATGCTAGATGAACACACTGTAACAAGCCATGCTGTATCTGCTCCTTGTGAATCCTTGAAAGTAACAAAAGCAAGCTGAGTGTTCTCAGTCTCCCTGCACAAATTATCACAACACAACTTCAGGATGACATATCCAAATAAGTCAAGCTCCATACAGTTAAGAGTGCCCACCTTTGCACCTCTACATATTGAATGTCACCAGAGAAGGAAAAGAATTCTTTGATATCCCGCTCGGAAACAGCTAAAGATATATTGCTGACCTTAACTGTTTTTAGCTGTAGGGAGCATAAGAGCAGATGATGGAGGCCAGTTAATTAAAACTTGAAAAGAACTTCTACCAATGAAATACTGCCTCAAAATTTATCAGATCCATCAAATATTTTAGATTACAGAACATTAACATATGTGAGTGTCATCATGTTTAACAGATGCTACGTATAGAGTTCCATGAATCTGGAATGGCAGCATGACAGAGTTTTGTATAAAAAACTTGCCTCCAAATAATCAAATGGCATGATAACTGGTTATGAGACAGATTTATAAGAACATCTTTGTCCTTATGTGACAGATTGATATAAAAATGTTTGCCCCTGAAATTGACAGAGTTCAGAGTCTTCACTAGTGGATTCAAAATCTTTACTACAAGCAATAATAATACTTCACTACTTTAATACTAATGACCTTCTGCCGCTGCTATATAACTGGTTTATTGTTGTTGACCAAAAGCTAAAGGGAAAGTCATTAGAAGTCTAAAAATGCTTATATATAATAGTCAATCATGGTTGAAGCACTGTTGTTAATAGCACCAATGAAATTTATTTCTAATATCTTTGTTCCTCACATCGGAAACATTGATTGTCCAATTTGGTGTAATAGTTGACTGTGGAGCTGCTGCAAGATTCTGATCAGTGTGGTCCACGAGGACCTGCACATGCAATTCTCAATTAGGTGTCCCTCAGGTTAGCAGTAACATAGGAAAACATAGAACCTCCAGCAGGCAAAAGATCATTTAATGTTGTATAAAAAGGAAAAAATGTAGTTAGATATATGGCCAAGATTGTTAGACCTGACATGGTAATCAAATTAAAAAAGTGAGATAAACTTAACATGCAGATAGAAAACCAGAGATGGCCGCAGTGAATATTAATTAAGAAGAAATATTTACTGCAATTGCACACATCAAGCAGGATTCAGGAAGCATAATACCAACTTTTGAGAACCCTTTTTCAGAATAACTAAAATAGTAAAAGTTCACCATCTTATTTATTTCATGACATGCATGATGGAGATTCAAAGATGATACCACCAACCTAGCTAGAGTCCTAGGCAGTCATTTTTTGTGCCACTAACAGTATTATAAACTGATTTCCTAATTCTGAGGTGCAGTGTGGACAATTTTTTTTCCTTTCCTCTCAAATCTCTTAATCACCATTCTTGTCCTTTAAAAGAAATGACCCAGCTCAGAAAAAAAAAATAATAATAATAACAATAACAATGGGGAAAAAAAAAAAAAAAACTAGAGGAGAGAAGGAAACCTAAAAGTAGGAAATATATGGATGAAAAATAAGTGAATACACATGTAATTGGCAAAACAGTAAATTGAAAGCACAAATAATGGAAACATACATACATAAAATACACGTCTGATGAAAGCAAAAATCTATATTCCTACTATTATGAATATATGAAGTTGGTTTTACTAAAACCGTAGCTAATCTCTACAAGTGTGTTAGCATAGACTATAGAAGATCATTTCATTCATGGCATTTCAATTGCAGAAAACTAAAGACCTACAGTGGAATGCCAAATAACCAAATAACACCAAAAAGCTTACATGGGTTTACCATAAAAGTAACTAACTGAATCTTTCTATTTCCACTTTCTTTCAGAGATGAACCCAGAAAGCCAAGAATTTGCAATTGATTAAAGAAAAGTCTGTTCTTTAGGGTCCTAAAGACAAATTTAATCTGGGGATTAAAAGTTGTTTAGATTTCCCAGCAACTCATAATGTACTTTTCAAAAAGCATATTACTTTAAACAAGAATGATATGGCTGAGTGGGCCAACTACCAACGAAAGTCAGGAGAATAGCCTCAACAATTTTGCATTTGATTTCTTGCCTAACTGGTTCTATTACGATGATAAGCCTATTATTGCATAACTACAGATTGTTGGAAGTTGAAAGGTAATTCATTTATCAAAGAGTCTAAATTGTTTCATTAAGAAAACTGAGACGATGGTAGAGGATGTTAAGATTATGTAGCTCTGATCTTGTTTCTCTTTGTACTTCCGTAACATCATAATCACTTTGTTTAACAACTTCAATTTACTGTAAGTTCTATTTGTGGTGTTTCTCTCATTTTTCAACTAGCTACATTTCCTGTTATAGTTTCCTGCTTTTTCTTTTAGATTTTGTTATGTGCACTCACCAATGCTTTTGTAATTATGGGCTTGTATTAACTCATAGAGAGTCCTCATTGTTATGAGATATGGTTAAAGTGTAACAGAGATGGGGAAAGTAGTTTAGGCAAGTCTTCTGTATTTCTGTTGTGTTCTTGCATCCAAGGTCCCATTTTGCATTGTTTTGTATTCGTTATGGCCGCTGTTGCATTTTGAATTTTATATGCCATTAGCATATCAGATTAGTGATTCTCCTTCTACTCTTCTGAACCCTTACATCTGTTTTTTTCTAAAGCCTCGTGAATGCGATTGATGTCATTGCAGCTTCACCTTTGACATGTTTGAAGGATCACCCTGGAAATGGTGAAAAACTCACCGTATCCCTGAGTGGTACATTTTCTTTTTCTTTTTGGATGGAGTTGTCGGCTGCAACAACCAATACACTTGGTTGTATATTGCTCTTAGACACTCAAGTCACTTCTTGTGGTGCTACTGTGAAAGGTTTGTATAGTCTCATTAATTTTGAATATATTTTTAAAGGCCGGAGCACTCTTTTCTGAACAATGGATTTTGCTTATTGTTTCCGGAATATAGTGATGCAAACTGCTTGTTCATGGAGATGTTAGTCAGTAGAGATTGCCCATGTCAAGTTCCTCTTACTATTAGCCAACAGAGTGACCATTGCCTCTATCTAGCTAGTCATGCACGGATGCATCTTGGAAAGGAATTCTTGAGGTATGCTTAAATCTTTGAGATATGTTTAGATAGGAGATAGCATAAGTCCGCAGATTGAAATTAATTTTCTTACTATACTTTGATTATAAGGTTTGACGCCACGAATCGCACAACTCTAAGTGGGTTCCACCCAGTTGTGCATTTCATTTGGTAACCAATGTCTTTTTGCCCACATGAGACCGTCTGGTTGTACCTAGCTAGAAATTAAAATCAATGTAATGCTAAAGCTACTTGTGACAACTAATAGTTGTTTATAATCCAATCTTTTGTGGGAACCATAATTAACAAAAATCAGCATGAGAAACCTCTAATGAATGTGATGGAAAAGGATTCTTATGATTTATAAACATTTTATTGGTTAGAATACTATTGATGCAATTTTCCATTATTGTAATGAAGAATTCTTCAACTAGAAGACATGGAATAAGTTAAGGTTTTCTGGAATATTGGACTATATATTAACGTGTGAAAAGTATAGAGAAGAAAGTTTTGTGTGAAACCATAATTAACGTATAAAAAGTGTAGAGAAGAAAGAGAAAAATTAATTGCTCTAATACTTGATGAAAATGAATGAAAGCAAAATGGGAAAGGGAAGTCATCGTTGGGCTAGAAGCATGTGGTGTGGGTTTAGTATATCAACGTGTGGAATAAGTCAAGGTTTTTTGAAATATTGGATTATATATTAATATGTGAAAAGTGTAGAGAAGAAAGTTTTGTGTGAAACCATAATTAACGTATAGAAAATGTAGAGAAGAAAGTGAAAAATTAATTGCTCTAATACTT